TTGATTAGAGACTTCATAAAAAATTTGTAAAGGAAACTAGAGCTTAAGCCGATATTCCATCGATTAGCTCACTCTTCTTCATATTGAAGACAATATCCGTAGTACTACACTATTAAGTCTAATTACAAAGCATCACGCCAACAATGAATAAAATAGTAAAATAAGCAATTTTTAACCTTTTCTCTTCTTCCTGAGAAAGTAAACTGCACGAATTTTATTGGTTAATGTTCACGTTAATGGAATCAACGCGCGTGACCAAAAAATTTTCCATCAACGAAGATAATTATTCAAATTATGGTTCCATAAAGAAAAGGAAAGTTGTAATAAATGCATAATTATTTAAGTGTGAATAAAACTATTATGAAACTTATATCGTGAACCGAAAAATTGATGATCCTTAAGTCCTTATATACATACATAACATCATAACATATAAACCAATTGTTCTAAAGTCGATATTTGTGTGTGTACGTGACTGAACGATTTTTTAACATAAAAGAGAATAAATAAAGTTAACGAATTATTTATCCAAAACTATAATATTAATTCGAAAAAAAAAACGATAATATAAAGAATAACGAAGAATAACGTGAATTCTGCGAAAATTCAAAATTAAAAGATTTAACATAAATGTCGGCAGAAACTCACATAGTTTTATAACGAATAATAGAAGAAAGTATTAAAAGTATTACTAAATCATTAAAAGTTTTCACTTGAAATATAAGTAAAAAATTTTTTTCCGATAATTTAGTTTTAGGTAAACGAATATCCATTGAAAAATCCATTTATATTGGGATAATTTGTAAATTGTGTAGTAAGGTTTGTGATTTGATTCAATGTGTCTTCATTATTGATGAATCGATCATTTATAATTCGGTATTTTTGCCGATTCCGTCTTCTTCTTTGAATCATACTTCTTGAAGATCGTCGTTGTATTCTGTCGTTATTAATAAGAGCATAAATGTTTAAAGGTCTGTTTGAAGGCATTTTAATATATAGAATTGTTGGATATCAATTTTTTTTTTTTCGATTCAACATACTCAACGCATCGATATTTATATCTTAAAAAATTTACACCAGCGCGGAAATTTTCTCACAAAAAATTTAAATATCCAGATATGGAAATACCTTTTGACCGTTTAAATCGCTTTATGGTAAATACTCACTTATTTTTTCGTTATCAATTTTCATTTTTACAATGATAATATAATTATTATTGTACGTGAAAACACCAAATAATCAAGATGTGTGTGATTATTTTCAATGCTAGACAAAACCTTATTGACGCTTCAAAAATGATTTGTTTCTTTCTGAAGAACCTATTAACAAATTATTCGGCACTACATAGATGGATTTACCCGAAACTTCAAACATCTAATCGCTCGGAATTTCATGGAAATATTGAGAATTTTTAATTAAAATCAAATGTTCCACTAAACATTTTTTACTTTAAAATTTTTAAAAATCATATTTATCTTATAAACATACGTCAATTTACTGTATCAATTTGACACACTTCAAAATTTTTAATGAATGTCATAAATGTAACCTCTAACCACCAATAACTGAACAATACATACAATACATAATATTGTCTAAATGATGTGATGATCATATTTGTTGTTGATAATAGATATAAGCATAAGCTTTTGTACCTTATCATTGTAAAGATAAGATGTGATATCATGTCAGTACGTTCATCTATAAAGATCGGAAAATCCTCATAACAAGTAAAGAAAAAAAATTGAGCACATAATAATCCTTCACAAAAAATGATTGATTCAATTTATTGAAGAAATTATATCCGTCAGATGGTTGGTAAGTACAAAGATTAGTGCAGTTAGTTAGTATAGATAGTACATTTAATAATTAATATATAATATAGTACAAGTACAGAATCAAATTTATATAGCAATAAATTTCAAGAATATTCTTTATCAATTATAAATTACGGCTCATTATGAAAAATAATCTTCCAATGTTTTTTTTCTTTCCGTCATGCGTCTCACAGTATATTAATTTAATGAAACAACTGTCCACTAAATAATGTCTTTTCACTCAACATATCAATCCACTACTCCAACCAAGTCATGTGATCTTGATATTCATTATTATATACCTCGATCAATTCCTTAAAATTAATCTTATTTACATGTAATAAAAATTAAAACGCAATAAATCTCAATTTTGTTAAAAAAATTCTCGGAGTTTGATTTCAACCATATCTATTGTGATTCTTTAAAGAACCTTATTGGGCATTTGGAAAGTTAAAAATTTAACAATATCTTTTTTCTGTATGTGAAATACTTTATTGTTACACAAATTTAAACTAAATTTAAATTGAACAGAATTATGCTCAATGAGTAATGACTTGTATACTCGGAGAAAGCTAAGATTGGATCAACGGACCAAAAAATTTGATGTTCCGAATTAAAAAAAAAGACCTTGTCTAATCGACATGATTGGTCAAAATATTGAAACGGAACAGACCAACTGCTCAATTTATACCATTTATTAATTATTAATTGGTCAAACATTTTTATAAAAATTTGAATGTTATTGTTCTCCATAAAAAATGTTTAAAACAATCTAATTAGTGGGACAGACAAACGTTGCATGGTTAGTTCTTTACACTTCGGGACCTATCAACAGAAAGCAGAAATACATTTTGAAAAAATTTTCTTTATAATTAATTAATTAATAATAATAGCTGCTTGCTGGCTAATAAAATTCGTTTGCAATTTTGATTTCCCAATTGAGCAAATACGCACGGCATATCTGAATTATGACATAATAATAATATAAATAAATATGATATCAGATATATTGACATATAAAATTTTTATTATTGCGCAAATTGCTTGCGCGCATTGCGATACAAAATATTTGGCTAGAATTTTATTCACTGTACATCCACCATTTTTAATAGGCAGTTTACGATATTTATTGTTAGCAATAAAGTTTAAAATATAGCAAATATTTCCATCATGTATAATAAATTGGAACAGCAGGTTACGGAACACGTGTTCAAGATGAAGCTAACGAAATAGAAACCAATTAACTTTCTTTATTGTCATAATATTAAAGTTATAAATTGTTTATTGCTTTATTTCTTAATTTTATACTCGATTAGTACGGACTGAGTTTGTAGTTTTGTGATTGATAGATTTAAACGGAGTACGACATCGGATTAAATATTGCATATCGTAAAGAACCATTCTCATATATGGGAGGTGGTCAGTAGAAAAGGGGGAAATCAAATTTTGGTCAAAATTTATATTATTGAACCACTTGAATTTAATTTTTTTTTATCGTTCCACTAAAAATTTACGCCAACAATATTTTACTAACTCTAAATCAGTAATTTTGAATGCAGCATTCGATGAAAGTTTTTTCACAGAAAAAAAATGTCATCTTTGAAACGAATATGTATAAATTCAAACTTAGTTAAAGTGTATATACGAAAAAATGGCGTGATAAAACAAAAGTTCTAAAATATAGGTATCACTATAAAAAAATTTTTACATACAGTAACACCTCTATAAATGCACGCTCTATAAATGCCCACCCTCTCTATATGCACACTACGGCTTGGTCCCAAGCTTGGGACTTAGAGCTAAATGCACACCCTCTATATTCTACACGTGCAAGTAATTTTAAGTCCTGGATATAATTTGAATAATGCGCTCACATGAATAACACATAAATCCAGCCAATCAGAAATAATGTTTTAGTCATGTGATTAATTTTATCATTTAAATAAAATATACTATTTGATGGGTAAATTCGCAGTAAATCAATGATTTCAAGTATAGTAGTATAACTAAAAAAAGTATATCAGGCAATGTATTTAAATATTAAAAATTTTACACTTTTTAAAAAATGTATTTTTTTTTTTTTAATAAGGATAACGTCCCAGCATTTATTTATTTAATTATAAAATGATTTACAAATCAAAATAAATGGAAATTATGATATGATCCTACAAAATCAACCATGACACTTTATCTCCTGAATGTATCTTTTTGTAACCAATCAAAAATATTTCATTATAATTAAACCAAATCAGTATTAGTTAGGGAAAATTTAGAAGTGGTATGTGGGATAATTGGGATAATTATACTTATAAGGGAATAAAGCATAAACAAACCTATTGAATAAAAAAAGTAATTGTTAAAAATGTCACAAATTAAATAAAATTATAATTAAGTTCCTAAATTAAGAAAAAAGAAATAAGAAACCTATATAAATTCCATTCATTTTCACAGGTCGAACGCTGATAAATCAGGTACCTTTCCGATTAGTCACTATTTTTTAATTAGCAATTAATAGATAGAAATCAGTAAATACTACAATCAGATATGAATCGGTTAATACCATAATCATAATTATTAAGTAGAATTACATAAATCAGTTTCCAACCCAATTTTATATATATTTTAAAAAATTTATAACTATATGTTAAATAGTAACAAATTAGGTTCAATTAACAATTGGTTATCAATTAGTTTAATACCTGATTGATGATTATTATTCAATTAGAATTTACCAATTGGTAACAATTTGCTAACAAGTCTCATTAATAAGATTTGTTAACAATCTGTAATGATCTTTTAACGAAATTTGTTAACTATTCGATTCACTTAACCAAATTTCGTTACGAATCGGTTAATAAATTTTGTTATGATTTGTTTAAACAAAATTTGTATAACAAATCATTCAACAAATTTCGTTAAGATTCATTTAAGCGAATTTCATTATAATGAATAGTTATAACTAATTTTATATGATTCGGTTAACGAAATTCATTTAAATGCATATGAGCGGATTTGACTCAACAGCTTCACCTCAGTAACAAATAATATGCAATCACACCCATCATTGATATATCACATTAAAAGAAAATTTCATTGGTAGTTTGTATTACTAAAATTAGAAATTACATTTTGTTAAAATTTAAAAAATGCAACACGCGCGTTCCAAAATACTTTTATTTTATAATGTCATTTACATGTTTTCTTTATTCTACTAATACTTCCAAAACTTTTTCATCTAAAAACTCACTTTCTATTCATGAAAGATCTGTTCACCCAAATAATAAAATAATACCTCATTCACGTTGCTTAACTTCTCCATCTTCATATGATATTCGCCACTTTAAACATTCTTTCGTAATACAATTAAAGGTACGCTTACAATTTCACAGAAGTGAACTTTGAGTAAAAACTTTAAAGATAAAGCCCTTTTCTGAAGGACTTTTTATTATTTTATTCTATAATTTACCAATTTTCAATATTCTCCTGTAAAAGAATGTATACTTGTAAGTTCGAAGGTGGTCAAGGATATGAACAATTAGGAAATTTTTTAGATAATAAAAACTGGGGTAGCAAAATGCGAAGGACAGGAACATGTGCATATGTTTTAATGCAAAATGCGCAACAAACCTATAATGTTACTTTTTGTTGGAAAGAACATGTATATAAAGATTCTGATATAGAATTACGTTGTAGTTCTATGCGCTTTGAATTTAATATTGATATAAGAGATTTTGTAGAAGGTAATTGAAATATTTTTGTATAATAATTAGAAATATAAATAAGAGGAGATATTTTCAAGCAAAGAAAATTAGTGATAAAATTTTAGAAAACAAGAAATTGTATATAAATTTAATTGAAATAGTATGAATAAAACAAGGTTTTTTTTGCTGTAGAAATAAAAATAAAATAAAGATTGAATTCATAAAAAAATATACATAAATTATTTTTGATTTTAATAAAAATTTTAAAAGGAGTATATATTTATTCATCATCACTTCACATTACTCAACTTACAAAATTTAGTAATCAAATTAATAAAAAAAAATAACAAGCACCATTAGAATCTTTTACTGACATACTATATATATTATAAAAAATACATAATGAAAGAGTTAAACTTTGCCAATTAAATTTTTATCATAATTTTAATCTTCTTAATATAGCATCTTTTGATAATTCTAATCAGAATTTCAAATTTTTATTTTAGATTTAAATTTCTATTGCTTTTCGTGTATATTTAATTGGAATATTATGTATCTGATAAAATAATTGCCAGTTTTCATAACAGAGAATATCATAAATTACAGGTTTTTTTGATTTCCCTCCGCCCATTGTTGTTCCTCCAAAAAATAATCGTACCTAAAATAATAATTGGTAATTAATAAGTTAATATAGAATGGTTAAATAAATGTTTTTAAAATTGCTTAAAAATTTACCTGTTGATGATTTTTCTTTTCTATACTTGATGTTGAAAAGTGCCGCAATACCATTCCTTTTTGTTTTAGATATCGCATAAATTGAGACATATGTTGAGCAAGCACATGCATGTATGGAGTAACATCTGTACGCAGATACATACCTTCTTGTTGAATAGCACTATTCAAATTACCAATCATAGGATGACAAAAATCATGAATACATTGCTTTGCATCAATTTCGAATTGGTCGATTTCTTCATTTATTATAAATTTTTGACGCATTATTTTATAAAGACAATAAAATTCACGCCAAAGATGCTCAATATTTTGTCCTCTTATAGCTTGTTATCCTTCAAAAAGATGTTTAACATGAAAATCGTTTAATATCTTTTTCTTATCAAGACCCATAAGTGATGTCCATTCCCATTTTCCATTTTTTGTAGTAAGAGGGTAAAATTCAAAATGAATATGCAATCTTTTCATTTCTGCAAGTATTAATGTTTGTGTATTATTTGCAAAATCTTTTTGTTTGGTAAGCTCATAAAATAAACATTAAAAAAGTACATCTGAAATTCGCAACATAAGATGTAATTCATCTATAATCTAATTATTTTGATCTATTTCTTGAAAAAGCATTGTATTTTTATATCCTATAATAAATTTAATTATTAATTTACTATATTAAATAAAATTTAATTCATAATTAAATATATACCACGCATATTTTTTGAGTTTAACCATACTTTATTCATATTATATCTTTCATCTTTATGACAATTACAATATAGGCAAAAGTAATTAGATGTTGCAGCATTAATTCCCATAACTAATGCTACAAATTTCCAATCACCCGAAAAAAATAATTCAACTGGCCAAATTGTATTATTTGAATCTTTATATCCATTAGTTTTTAATTTTTCAAGTTCGTGTGAAAATTTATTGATATGATAGATAAAAAATCATAAGATTCTTTCCCTATATATAAACAAATACTTTGTACAACAAATATTAATAAATTATATACTGTAACACTTATACAGTAGTATATAATAAAATTAAAAATTAATAGTATATGATACCTATATTGATGAGCGGGATTCAAAACAGCTTCTTCTTCATTAAGAATACACATAGTAAGCATCACATGCTTTTGCTTTCTTCCTACATTTTTTCCGTCTCCACTTAATTTTATATTAATCTTATCACCAACTTTTAAAACAGGAGGTGTTGAAGTTGTTAAAATAGAAACTATAATATCTAATATAGATGTAATAGACCGATATGCACCACTACCTACATCACCATCATTAAGTTCTATTTCACTACTCATATTTTGTTGATTCTCATCATTATCATCAAAATTAACATTATAAATGTTAAATAATTTGATTGGAATAAGAGCATTCATTATATTTGTAATTTCATTTCAGCGTTTTTTCAATTATATATTCTCTTATTAAATTTGGAACTGCTTTGGCTAGTCTGCGATAATTATCACGTGAAATTAATGTTTTATCACAGGCACGGATGATTGAATCTAAATGTTGTGTAAAATTAGTTATATTATTAGAATAAAAATGTAATTCTACAATTTTCCCATTAATTTTAAGAACTATAGCTTCAATTGTTACTATAATTTCTTCAGATGGTGTGATAAATTTATTATTTTTGAGAATTGTTAAAGTTTGTGCTACAATTTCCTTTCCAACTATAGTGATATGTTTATTTTTTTGTGATTGTGATGTAAGTTCAGTAAAACATCGTTTGCGATTAGCAGATATTATAGATTATTGTGCAATATTTTCGCGCATTTATTGTAAAAAATTTATATCTAAACCAAAAAGTATTGTACCAACAACTCGTGAATTGGGCTTATTACATATTTCCTATAATAAAGATTATATTTAATTGCAATTTTACGCGAAAATTGATACTGTGTTTTACATAAAACTGTTAGTCCACTTAATGTTGTTTCTACTTGATAATTATTCGGAACTTTATAATTTATTCCCTTTTCTTTTCTAGTAAATTACTTTTGTAGGATATTGTCCAAGAGATATAATTTTATATTACAAATTTTTTTAAAGTTTTTTTTTTTTAGTTTTTAGAGTTGGTTTTTTTATTTTATTTTATAATATCGTAGTTTTAATTAATCGTTAATGCTAATAAAATTCAATTACAGATCATTTCTTTTTATGGGAATTTTGATCACCATTTTTAGCCAATCATAGGGAAGTCTTCCTATGAGGGCGTGTTGCAATTATTTTGACGCGTTTGTCACGGGATAATCACATGTGTAATAATACAATTTTTTAAAAGTCACATCAGACGTGTGTGTGACAATCGATTTCTATTACATGTAAAATTTATGCACTGCACTTAGAATCACAAACTCTTTCTCGACGCAATTATTCTTTAAATGTCAGGGCCTAAAACTACACAGAATACGATTTTCATTCCGCCAAATCTTTATTATGAAGGTGAGTTGTCCCTTTTTATGTCGACCATATCACGCAAAATATCCTAGACTGCTTTGTAACTTCCGATTTGCAGATTACTGGCTAAATACCAACTTTCAGGATTGGTCTATTGAGTCGTTCGATATATTTTGGATCCAACAAAATCCGAATCTCCATCAAAAACTAGATCTAGCCCATACTTCGTTAGCTACCGAGTTGAACATTCTCACTCAAGCTTCTGATCAAAGGGTGGCAGAAAAAGCATTGTCGTTACATAAATTATTAAAGGTTAGTTTATTGCGAAGGAAGGAGCGTCAGGCAAGACTGTTTGTCAGCTTTTAACTACGCCCCTCGGTGCTTTCGAGGAATGGTTGGGTGCTTTCTAACCTGATGGGGAAGAGAAGCGCGATGGCTTCACTCACTATGTGATTCTTTCGCGTGTACATCCTGCTTGCAGACATGCCTGTGGCTTACCGCTTTTATTGTCTTTTTTGCAGTGTAAGAAATTGTCAGAAATCAATGATATTATCTGGGACCGGAGCCAAGAAATTGCGAATTCAAAAGTTCGTTTAACGCTAAGTGAACTGCTAGCCAAGGTGATTCGAAGTTGAAGTAATATTATTATAAATGTTACAATTATTTGCTTACTATTTTGTTTTCCTAAATTTTCAGACGAAAATTAAGACAAATATTATCGATGAAATCGGAGGTTCAGGAAGCAAAAGGTATTTCTTTTAAGGCCACGCGAGTTTTTTTCTGAAAGCCATATCTAACTTTAATTCCGTTCATATAAAGTTCTCCTGATGCAATATCAACGGTGCAACCTCAAGATGAAAATAATCGCAACAAGCACGCTATAAGAGGAGACGGCCAGTCAGATGATCTGTTCAAAAAAATAGACGAAGATGACGAGGAATTTCTTGAAAATGTTGGACTTCTATTTAATGAGTCAAATGAGGAGTCAATTATCGAAAAAGTTGATGAGAATTCGCTATTGGAC